ACGTACGTACGTACGTACGTACGTACGTACGTACGTACTACGTACTACGTACGTACACGTACACGTACGACACGACACGACGTACACACTACACTACTACTCTACTACTACTCTCTCTCTCTCTCTCTCTCTCTCTCTCTCTCTCTCTCTCTCTCTCTCTCTCTCTCTCTCTCTCTCTCAGCACAGTGAAGACTGTTACCTCATGAAATTGGGGAAAAGAGAGAAAGAAGTCGAGGAGTGAAGAAGAGGTGGAAGGGAGATCATCAGGAGCACTCTGAGCTATCATTTCTCTGAGACGGATGGGAACCAGAGACTTTAGCGTCTCCATCGTCGAACACAACAAAACCCTAATTTCTTTAATCTGCAGAGAGAAGCAGAGGTTTGAAGTTCGTCAGCCTACTGATTCTTCTCTACTCTTCTCCAAGCAACTCATTCTTCCCAACTCTTCTCGTATTACCAGTAACGAGAGCACTGAGTTGGGCTCAGTTTTAACAGGAACTGAGCCAGAAATTTACGCTCGTACCTCGCCAATATAAAATTGGGTGAGGTTTGTAGAAAGGTGCCACCTTATACTATACAAGTAAGGCGTACAGCTAAATTTTTTTTTAGGGAGATATCATTTTGATGATGAAAATCTTATTGTGGTTTGAAATCATACGATGGTTTGAAAATATATGTTTTATCTTAATCATAAAATTTAAAAAATGGTGCTAAGCAAGCAAATCTATAAACATTTGAAATCTTAAAAGTAGAACATCCAAATAATCTATTACCATATTCATTCGTGTAAGAGTAGCATTCTTTTTTTCTTTATTCTATATGTCTGTAAGAGTTGCATTCTTTTTTTCTTTATATCTATATGTCTTGAAGTCAAGATGATCAATTGGATAGTTTTCCAATTTCAGAACACTCTTTTCTACCAAATTTTTTATGTGCACTTTCTATAATATAAGTTGCAACTTTATATAAACCTTTCCTATTAAATTTTAGGGTATTTTATAATAGTGGATATTTAGGAGGTATGACCATAAATTCTCAGAATTTAAAAGAAAAAAAAATAACATTGGGAAATTATTATCAATATCCCTCTATTTTATTAATATTAAAAAAAAAATGCCCTCAAAATATTCAATTTACTACTCATGTCCTATTTTTCCTTCCTCTTCCCTCAAAATGCCCTTAGTTTCAAACTCTAATTCCAAGCTGATGTCTTCCATAGTTTGCATAATGAATAACGGAGTTCAAATTACATTTGTCCATTGATCGAATCAAATTTTCAAACACTTGACATTCATGGATGTTTATCCAATGAATGGACCAGTTTTGCAAACACTTAGTGTTCATGGTGATTACCCACTGATTGAACAAATTTTCAAACACTTGACATTCATGGGTGTTTTATCAATTCAATGACCAAATTCTTTGGCAAATTTCTCACTGTAAATATACGTTGACCAAAAAATTCATTGTAAATCCACTAATAAATTTACACTGAAAATTTCATATGACGTGCGTACTCGCACGCATCGATGGTGACCGTTACCTTCCCTGAGACCCTTCGTTTACTTCCAGTGACTGTTCACTACCTGATGACTCTCGGTTTCTTATCGGGAAACCCTTTCATTTACTGGGAACCCACTGTTGTGCCGTTCCCCGTCCTCCACACCCTGAAAAGTCCCTGAAAACCAGCGGAAGTTCACCGGCAGCTCCCTGCTTGCAACTTGGACCCCTTTCCCCATTTTCAGCTACTCCAAAACTACAGCCGGAATCTCCATGGACTCCAGCGAGCTCCCCGCTTTTCTCAGCCAGGCAGTAACCTTCGCTGGCAGACGCCTGCAACCCTCACGAATGCCCTCTCTCTTCCTTGCCGGAGTTCTTTGCTGACAAATCACTGCAACCTTCCCCTTGCAAGTGTCATGTCGGAATTTCTCGCACTCTCACCAAAAGAACCCTACAACCTTCCCTCGAGTACCCTGCGTTCATGCTCGAGTCCTAGCCAAAAGCTTCTCTCTCTCATTGCTAAAAATTGTCTTAGCCATTTTTTTTTACCCTAAGGTAAAATGGTGAAAAAGGGGTTTACCCCCTTGTATAGATGAAACTTCCCCGAGGTACCCCTACCAAAATGGAAATGCTAGCGAGGTTCCTAAAGGCCAAAATACGATGGGCCTGACCGGGTTGGGCTCAGACCCGAAGCCTATATCCAGGTTACCGCTGTTCATGCTCTACCACCGCTCATGCTCCAGTGCCGAACACGCCACTGAAGGACAAATGCCAATGGGCAGGACCGGGTCGGGCTCAGACCCAAGGCCCGAACAGAGGTTTATTGCCACCCACACAGCACCAAGAGTCAAAAGGACCAGGACAGAGTCGGGCCCAGGCCTGAACACAGGTCACCGCCGTCTATGTAACTTATGACTAGCGCCGTCTGTGAGCAGCACCGTCTGTGTAACTTATGACCAACGCTGTATGTGTAACTTGTGACCAACGACATCTGTGTAGCTTGTGACCAGCGTCGTCTGTGTAATTTATGCCCGGCATCGTGTGTGCATCTTCCGTGTGACTACTTCTTAGCACTGTTCAGGACCAGTGTCGTGCGTGTTATGCTTCCCATACTAACATCATGCATGTGCTAGCACCCTACGTGTCTAAACCTGGTCATCACCGAGAGTGTTCCGCCATCATCCTCAATAGGAGTTACACCTGTGTCACAGCCCATCATCCCTAGTGGAGTTAGGTGTATGCCAAAAAAAGGTATGCTTGCCTCTTTAATCCCCAGTGGGTATGTTTCGCACCAAGCTATCTTATCTTCAGGGACTCGGGTTACCTTCCATAAGCCTATTCCCTATGGAGTCTCATTTTTCACCCCAGGGAGTCATACTTGCCCCCTAATCCCCAGTAAAGTCTGCTTTTGCTTGCTATCCCTCGTCGGGTCACCATCTCCATCTGAACCCTCTGCTTGTGTATGGCCATAACCATTTTATCCCCAGGGAGCCGGATTGTCATTCATGCTTCTATTCCCCATAGAGCTTCACCTACATGGCAACCCAAACCACGGTCTAGATGCATGACCCTAAACTGCATGGTCCAAACTATACGACCTTAAATTACATAGCCACGGTCTAGTTGCATGATCTTAAAAAAACATGGTTCTAGTTGCATGAATTTAAACAGCATAGCCACGGTCCAAGCTATATGACCTTAAACCATAGTGCACGTCTTGACCGCATGACGTTAAAAGGCTTAACACCACGGTCCAAACTATATGACCTTAAACCGTAGCAGAGGTCTAGTTGCACGACCTTAAACTGCATGGTCTTGGCTGCATGACTTTAAATTGCATAGCCACGGTTCAAGCTATATGACCTTAAACTGTAGTGTACATCGTGGCTACATGACGTTAAACTGCTTTGCACAGGTCCTGGAGGCATAACCTTAAACACGCCCCCACATACGCACACTCCTCGTGTACACGCACCACCTTCATTAACTACCCAGTAAATCCATCTTCCTTCATTACCATTCATCATTCCCCAGTGAGTCTCACCCGTGCTCATCAATGGCGAGACATCCCACCATCCATACTAGCCGTCAACTAGTGGGACCCCATCATCCATCTTCCATACCAACACCACTCACTTTTCATAAAGCAGCCTCATTCCATCTCCCCAAAGTGAGTCAAACCACTACCATACTCACTCCGTGGCTCCAACAGACTGCCACCCATCTCCACCATGGTCTAGCTGTATGACCTTAAACTGTAGTGCACGTCTTGGCCGCATGACGTTAAAAGGCTTCGCACAGGTCCCGAAGGCATGACCTTAAAAACGCATTCACAAAAAAAAAGAAAAAAAAGGAGAATAACAGGCATGGTGTATACCTGGACAATGGAATGCCATGAGTAAAAATGATAGACGGTCATGGTCATGAAACCATGAGTACGAGAGTTTCATGAAAATAAAAGCCGGGCACGATGAAAACCCCAAAGGGGTCTGTGAGTAAAAATGGAAGAATAAGGGTGGACATGGCAGAAAGGTCATGGGTAAAAGAGCCCCAAATAAAAAGAAGTTGGTGAAAACCGTCTCTATGACGCCGCTTCCCAAGTTCAAGTGAAAATCCGTAAAGGATGCTTAGACCAATAAACAGGTTGATGTAGCACACGCCTCATAGGTGGCTTCAGCCACTGTGTAAGAAGAAAAATCCTTGGTGTCAGAATGCTCTGATACCAAGGCCCAAAAATATGAGGATCAAGGAAATATTCCAATAGCTTGAGTCCATTCGCAAAAGGACTCGAAGGACAGAAGACTCGCCAAGAAGGTAAGACAATTCTCATGAAGAAGAGCACCATTCTCAGGAGGTAACTAACACACTTCATGATACTGAAGGTGCCCCAAGAAAGCTAAGTCAGCCAGACCTTGGATCTGTTATACAACAACCAGGATTGAGCCCCCAGGGTCGCCTCGGACGAAGAAGAGAGGTATCTTAATTATCGAAACTGCTAGCAGTAAGCAGGGTTGTGCCCATAACTGGTCACCTCGACAAAATGAGGTACCCTGCCCACCAAGGAAAATCTGATGCGAACAGCAGACGACTGCCAACAAAAAGCCCTTCAGTAGATCATCCATAACAAACAACAAAATAAAGAAACCCAAACTAAATGGGAAAAGTACCCTAAAGCGTGACACTCGATTGCCAGACGGGCCTAATTCTGATCAACGAGGTCCGTACAAAATCCTCAACTATCAGAATCATAAATAGTCCCTTGAGGGTGAGAACTTCGATAGAATCCCTCAAAAGTCTCTTCTCCCCCAAAGTCTCCACGGATGGACCTGCACAATGCATCCAAACATGTGAGCATCCTAGTTACAGCATGCGTGGATATCACCTCGGCGTTCACATGGTCTTGTGGTTAAGAAGAAAAAAGAAATAAAGCTGAAGGAAATTTTTCGAATGTTGTCCTTCTCGCTTCTCTAGAAGCACAACATTCAACGGGGCAAGCTGTTTGAAGACATTTTTTAGCACCTTGGGTCTTTGATGTGAAATAAAAGAGAAGCCGGTCAATAAAGCCCTGACATATAATGGAATTCCTAACAGTCTTATAATTACCCTAGAACAAGTGAAAATATTTCTAAGCACTTCAAAAGACCATCTGTCAAGTTTTGTCACAATTCAATAACTAGAACCCCATTTTTGGTGCATCAAATAGCAGTGGGACTATCGTCATTGTATATGTAGCACAGTTGAAAACCTCTAGGGGTCAAGTTTCGGCTTAAACAGACGTTACAGTACAAAGTTATGTGTGAAATATTAAAAGGGGGTCGGCCGCATGCTATTCCCGTGCGACCTCCCTTCACCAATCTCCATTAAAGGAGACTAGTTTGCACAGTCACGAGCAGCAACTTTGAATATCAGTATCTCACTTGTTTTGAATCGGATCCCGCTCAAATTTGGTGAGCATGTTTGTCTTGTCAAGACGAGCATTTTGATTGTAGCATGCCTCGTGACAATGCTCGAGGAGAGAGAAAAAATAGAGAAAAGTTGACGATTCGTGAAGACAGTTGTAGAAACTTTAGCAACGACACGCCTCGCTCAAGTAACCAAATTAAGACGCTCGCATAATAGATCAACGCGAGACCAGTTCCATTGCATGAGTGAGGTCCAAGGATACATCTGAGCCAAACCTCACACATGATGAACAGTTGGATTTCACATGTGAAGCCGATAAACTTGCTGCAGATTCCAATCACTGGATTTCAAGATCCGGCCAAAAACCCAAGAGGATGAAATCTTTGTTCAGGCACGAAATCGAGCTACGTTTGTTGCAACACGATCATAACGACATGCTCAATTTAATACAGTAAAGAAACCAAAGAAATACATCAAGAAACAAGCACACTATTGATCGAAAGTTTTCAAGATCTCTACAAATTTTGAGTCGCATGATCGTGGCCTAAAAATGCGATCCGTGGTTCAAAGTTAGTATCAAATCGATTGTCATGCCGCGCCCGACAAGAAAGCAATCATCTTTCGGATGTCGGAGCAACTTTGAATCATCCATGAAAGATCACGCACGTTCTAAGGTAGCAGCAGGGGCTGTTTTGGAATTCTATGTATTGTTTGACAGGGGCAAAACTGTCATTTTGCACCCATTTTTATATTTTTTTAATTCAAATAAATTGTAATTATCATCAATTAGGTTAGATTCTAGGCATCAACTCATGTTTGGGCCCAATTTTATAAATACAAGCTAAACCTAATTGTAAAGGATCCCCTCAGTCTTCTCTTGCATGAATAAAAATTTTAGAGTTTTCTAATCAGATTGTGGGTACGTCTTGGAGTGAGAAGAAAAATTATGATACCCTTTGATAAGATAACTTTTTCTCTCTTCCTCTATTATCTCTCTCTCTTTCCTCCTCTCTTTTCTCTCTTTCTCTCTCCTCCTATCTTCTCTCTTTCTCTCTCCTCTCATCTCTTTCTTTCTCTCTCTCCTCTCTTTTACTCTCTCTTTCTTTCTTCTTCTCTATCTTTCTCTCTTCCTCTTTTTGTTTCTCGCTCTGCACTTGACATGCATAATAGTGGGTCATCGCTGTGCGTGTCTCTCATCTTCTTCTTTCTTCTTTTTCTCTGCTTTCTTTCTTTACTCATCCTCCATTTTTTCTTAATCCTTCCTCTCTCTTTCTTGATCTTCTTTCTTCCCTTTCCTTTCTCTTCTTTCTTTCCTTTCTCTTTCCTCTCTTTCCTAATCTCTCTCTTATTTTTTCTCCCTATTATTTTATCTCTCTCTCTCTCTCCTCCATTCATGCACGGCGGTGCTTATTGTCGGGCATGATGTCTTCCTCCTCCTGGAACATGCATAGTGAGTCGGGTCTTAACCCGAGTGACAGGCAGAGCCTTAGTCCAAGTTTCCCTAGTCTTATGTCACACACGGCGATGCTCATCATTGTGCACGACATTCCTTCTCATAAACTCTGATAAGGGTATTGAACCGTGCCCTTTCTTGAGTGGCGGGCAGGGTCGTGCCCAAGTCCTTT